GTTGTGGATACATATCTTCATCATCATATTCCTCTTCAACATATTCGTACTCATCCTCTACAATCATGTTGTGTAAAATTATACACGTCATCATGATTGAGTGGAGGTTATCCTTGGACCACATACGTGCAGTGACCCGAACAATAGCCCATCGAGACTGTAGTATTCCAAATGCTCTTTCAACATCCTTCTTGTACGCTTCTTGCATTTGTGCAAAAAGCCTCTTCTTTGGGTTATCAGGAGAAGAGATGGTCTTCACCAAAGTAGCCCAATGGGGGTAGATCTCATCTACCAAATAGTTGCCCAAATGGTATTGATTTCCTTTGACAATATATTCAACTAGGGAGCCACTCCATGCACCACATCATTGAATAATGGGGAACAAGCTAAAATATTAATATCATTGTTGGATCCAGCGGCTCCAAAAAAGGCATGTCATATTCATGTGTCATACGAGGCCACGACCTCTAGCATAACAGTGGGCTTTTTTTTTGTGACCGGTAAATTGGCCTGCCCAAGCATATGGGCAGTTCTTCCATTCCCAGTGCATGCAGTCAAGACTTCCTAACATGCCTGGGAAGCCTTGATGGCTCGCCTTGTGTAAGAGCTTGTAAAGGTCAGCTGGATTTGAAAACTTGAGGTACCATTGTCCATACACGACTTCAAAAATGGAACAAAACTTACCGAGTGATTCAAGAGCTATGCTTCCACCCAATCTACAGTACTTGTCGGTCGCATCAGTTGAGCATCCCCATGCGACCATACGAAAGACATTGGTTAACTTCTGTTCAGGGGATAGCCCTTGTCGACCGAGTCCGTCTTTTTTCTGGCGAAAATATAGCTCATGGTTGACAACATCATTCAAGATGCGGTAAAACAACTCTTTTTGCATTCGGAACTGCTTACGAAAGTCCGTGGTATTAAAATGTGGCCTTTTAACGAAGTAGTCGGACTTGAGATTGTGATGGCGATCTTCCCTCTCACGGTTCTTGTACTCGTGACCGACTATCGACCCACCATGTTTGGGGAGGTGATCGGCTTCATTCTCCAGTGAAGTATGGTGGACAATGGCTTGTATCACTCTTTGATGATGTTCTTCATTATTTGAATAATCATCAAACATAAAGGAAAAGATGGCCTTGAAATGATATGAAAAGTATGAGAATGAAGAAGATGATGTGTTTGACAACCAATGGTACTCTTCTTAAATAGATTTTGTTGACATCTTCAATAAGAATGAAAGGAGATTTATGAAATTGACAAAGGAAAAATAAATTGAGAAATAGAAAGAAAGTTTTTGGTAGATTATTTGAGAAATGAGTGGGTATTTATAGAGTTTGGATGAGTTTTGGGGTTAGATCTGATTTATATTAATTTAAAATATTATTTTGACCGTTGAATTTAAATTTCAGCCGTTTGATCTTTTTTTTACAGTTAAAATAGCTTGGATTTAATATGAATCGTTGATTTGAGTTACTATTTGAATTATTTATAAATAAAAAAATAGACGTTTGAATCACCAATTTCTGCCACGTGGTGAGACATCAGCTGCGGCACAGCAGTAGCGTGGGGCCCACAAATCTTCCTCACACATGGGCTGCACAGCCATGAGTGGGCTACACAAAAAAGATTTTCAGTCCAAGCAATAGCTGGACTGGTATTTGGCCTCAAGTTTGGGTTTTGTTAAATTTTGGCCACTTAATTTTCTTGGGTATGGAGAGGAAATGGGCTAAAATTTGGGATATTTTGGGGTTGGCTTCATGGGTTGAAGATGGCCTAAGAGTGTGGAAGAAAAATACAAGAGGGTATTAGCAAACGCCTAGGCTCAGGTGGGAACATCTTTTTGCAAACCTCTACTTGCAGCTCCATCTCAGCCATTTAAGTGATCTCAACGGCTGGGGAGAAAAAGCAAGCTCACACTAGAATCGGGTACGCTGCAGTTTCTCCTTTGCACTTGTGCTATCGCGCCTTTTCCAGTCGCGCCTTTTTTTCCTTCCTTCTGCCATTTAATTCATTTTTAAATTTTAACTACAAACCCCCAAATCTGACAACCCAAATACCAAAAAACTTGTTTTAATTTGTTGAAAATCTCAGAACTGCAGTCGCAGTCGCTCTTCCTCTCGTCACTTACCCTTCCAGTGGACATTCAATCTCCATGAACTACATCCATCTTTTCTCATCTATCTTTCCATCTACCCATATCCTTGCTTTCATTTCTGCCCTGAAAATTGTCATGAATGGCTACCAATCTGTATCTATCGCTTTCCTAAAATTCCCACACCCACTCTCGCACTATAGCTCTCTCTCTGGTCCTATCTCTTCCGGCCTCTTTTCCTCATTCACAAGAAGATTAGCCAGCAATCTCAACACTCCCTCTCATCAGCTGTCTGTCTGTCTGTCTCTGCTCTACCTCTCCCTTTCCTCATTTATCACTCTCTCTCTCTCTCTCTCTCTCGTTGTGGCTACATGGTCTCCAAGAAGAAGTATGATTGCTTTGTAAGTATTCATTTCAAGAACTCAATTTCTTATTTCATATTTGGGTTTCGAGTTTTTGGTTCAAAAGGTTGGATCTTGGTGTGTATTGGCTCTGAATTTGTGGGTTTTGCTGGCTTATTAGATTTATACTCAAGTGGACTGTGGTGGTGATAATGGAAGAGAATAGAATGAGTAGTTTCTCTTCGTTAATTATTGAATTTTAAGTAGTTTATGGGTGTTTCTATTTTGTAAGTTCTGAACGTTATGTTTGGCTTTTTTGGGTTCACAGTGATAGCAAGGAGTTCTCTCACCAATTATTAGGTTATTTTTGTTGATGTTCAGACATCTGAGGTTAGTAACTATTAGCAAGTCTTATGAAAGCATTTATTGTGCTTGATTTTGGCTTTTGTTTTTTTCTCCTTTGGTAACCCAAACTCCAGCTGCCTTCTCCAGGAATTGGGAACCCAAACTCGAGCTGCCATCTGTTACCTATTTGTAATTAATGCTCAGCTTGGTTAGCAAGTCTTTCTCCTCTTGTATAAATTCTGTTGTAAGTAATAAAAAGGACAGATGATTGAAACCTGAAACCTATCTTTTGATACTCTGTTTAGTAGTAACCATTTTCTTGTTCAATTCTATTCCAACTCATCGTTTCATTTACTTGTGTTATGTTGCTGGCTCATCTGCTTTGTTTTTCTTTTAATTTATGTTGTAAAACTCTCATCATATTTGCTTTCTTGGATACACTGAAGCAAAGGTACTGCCTCTCATCTTGTTTCCCAATCCTAGACTTCATTAATTTTCTAAGATACATCTCATATACAACAAGGGGTAATTGTTAATTTGTTAGAACAAAGTAATGGTTGTCATATGCATGTCATTAATTTTCTGCTCTTCTTCTTTCTGTTTACAGATGAAGAGTCTGGATGGTACGATGGTCAGGTACATAGGTTTTTAGCTTGCCTTTTGGTTTGGCAGAGATGACCAAGTTGAATGATTATGTTACATCATTTGTTTCAATGCTCACAACTCTTTCAGCATATTTCATTGCCTTAAAGTTGGAAGTTTTTCCTTTTCAATCCAATTTCCTTCCCTTTTGGAGAATCCGAAAGCTTGCTTTCTAACTAATTCTTTTTGCTTGTAAAGAAGTATATGACATGGTAGTAAAAGTTGGAAATTCCATTCGAAGTTGGCCTGGAGGATATATCACCATCTTTTCTCATTGACAAATTTGGTATCCATGATGTTAACTGCCCAGAATGTCCACTATTTCTTTATGACCAATTTGTCAAAGAGGAAATTATCACCAATCTGAATTTGAACCAACATTTAATTATCTTGTTTTTATATTTTAGTATTCTAATTACTGGCTATTCTGATGTAGATGTTGAAATTCTGTCACCAAAATATGTTTCATAAATGCTTCAAAAGGATTCACTAAAGCTTCAACATTGCTTGATTTACTATTCCCTAAAAGCTTCAAAATAATTTTTTTGTGTGTTTATTTTTATGCATGATATTTAACATATGAACGTGTCAGTCAGTTGTTCCATTATGCTTCATTGAGCTCCAATCTTGGTTATGAAAATTTGGATCTAAAAGTTGATGTGCATGTGGTGGAGGATTTGCCTCCATTTTTAAGCTTGTAGAAAAAAATGAAAATGCATTTCTAATAGTGTAATACGATGCCCAAAAAATGGAGACACCAAAGCAGATGGAGACATTCATTCCGTGCTAAGTTGGGAATTCACACCTAAAGCAATAGTTGGGAATCACGCTGTGCTCCATATTAAACAATGTGCTCTCACAAGTTGTTTTCATACTACAAAACCCTTATCTTGCATTCATGCATGGAAAAACTTGGATGCAACAACCATTATGTTGTAAGTAATACAAAGGACATATAATTGAAACCAAAAACCTTTCTTCTGATACTCTGTTTAGCAAATTTTAACAAAAATTTAAAAAACAAAGCAGATGAGCCAGCAACATAACACAAGTAAATGAAACGATGAGTTCGATGAGTTCGAATAAAATTGAACAAGAAAATGATTTTAATGTATGAAAGTGGTTGTTAACCTCCGATGTCCCAACATCTGTTGGAAATCCCTCTTTAGTGTGAAGTCAAGATATGCGGCTGGTATTTTTCCCTTTGCAAAGCACATGGATGAATGTATGGAATATGCATGCATGGTCATTAATTGATGGTTGAAAAGGAGAAGGAAAATAGGGGAGCTGCACATGCTTTCGGCGCCTTGGGTTTCCTCTTTAGTGGAGGAATATTTTTTGTATTAATGATGTCTTTGGTGGGAGACAAGGTGTAATGATGGGCAACATCATTATGGTTTCTTTAGCATGCACGTGGCCTGTTTTTTGGGAGTTGAAAATCAGCCTTTCTTTTATGGTTTTTTTTACCAACATAATAGTTACCAAATTTGCAGGCAACCAGAGCTTCCTCCCTGCTTAGGATGGTGAAACTTACAAGAAGTGCCAAATTTGCAAGACCCTCTCCTCATATAATACTGCCACTAAAGAATCATAGCACATCTTATCCGGAAAAAAAAAATTCACAACACAATCAAACAAAGGAGATTCACAAACTTTCAAGGACTATCAAGATCTGCTACTTTTTCTACCATCAATCTGTACAATTACCTTACTTAAGATGGTTGAAAATTTATCAAAATCGTGAACTAGATACAATGAACCAACAACATTATACCCATTTTTTCAGAACAAATACAGAAAAATTAATCAAGAAACATTTAAAGAAAAAACAAATTGGCATTTAGGAATTGATACAAACCATGAGTGAGAGGGTTACTGGAACGAAGAGGGAGAAAGTAGACAAACCAACCTAGATTCTGCAAAAATAAAAATAAAACTTGAAACCCAAATACGAAATAAGAGATTGAATTCTTGAAATGGATACTTACAAAGCAATCATACTTCTTCTTGGAGCATGTAGCCAGAGAGAGAGAGAGAGAGAGAGAGAGAGAGAGAGAGATGAGGAGAGGGAGAGGGAGAGCATATAGTGGGTCTGGAAAAGATATAAGGAGAGAGGAGGAGGGAAGTGGTTTCAATTAAGGTTTTTGATAGCATAAAAACACACACATATATATAGCATGAAAAGTTTGTCATATGAAAACGGTTTCCATAATACTCTTTACCCACAAACTCTAACCCTAAACCCCAAACCCTAACCCCTAACCACTAAACTCTACCATTTAAAATCAATTTTAAAGTAAAAAGAAATAGTTAATTGCATGAGATGCCAGGTGGCGGCGTCCCTTGCTGACACGTGTCATATTTGTTATATTTTAATCATATTTTGTTGTAAAATTGTTTAAAATATAACAATAAATGAAAAAAAATACAAAAAATATACATACATATTTCTCAGCACCAATACTTGTATCCCAAGTCCAAAAAGTGGTTTACAATTGTTTTAAAATTAAAATTTGGGGGTCATCCCTAAATGTGAATGATGCAAATAAAAACATAACTACATTTTGTAAACCCTAAGCTATTGTTTGTTTGATCACATAAGGATCGAATCAAAATTTGAATGCATTGGCGAAATTTGACGTACATGCTCGAAGAAAATGTCATACCAATCCCGACATTATTTTTTGGGAATTTTTTGAATTATAAACGATTTTTAAATCAATTTTGAAGTAAAAAGAAATAGTTAATTGGATGGGATGCCAGGTGGCGGCTTACCTTGCCGACACATGGAAATGGATGGGATGTTAGGCTCTCCTTGTGCTGACATGTGTTACGTTTGTTATATTTTAATCATATTTTGTTGTAAAATCGTTTAAAATATTAAAATAAACGGAAAAAATACACACAAAAAAAATTACATACATATTTCTCAACATCAATACTTCGTATCCCAAGTCCAAAAAGTGGTTTACAAAGTATTGATCACTACTTTACAACAACTCTTCCTCTAATTATTACTTCAAATTTCCCAAAGTCAAAATCTTGTTTTCACACCTCATAGTTTAAGTTTCAAAAATCACAATCACCATAAATTCTCACAAACTCATTATGACATTTTCTTTATCTTTTAAGCTTTAAAATATAATTTTTACACATAAAAAAATTCAAATAGTTTATCAAAGTTTCAATTTTCTTCCTCTTGCAGCACCACATGTCATCATATGTTCTTTTTTTTTGTTTAACTGACAAAATTCACAAAAAATGATT